TTTATTTAAAATATATAGTTGTTACGTCCTACAGACGCCACGATTCTTTCCTTCGGCTCCACGACTATGTTGGCGTCTGCGAGACTCGAGCGAAGCCTTCTGATAACGGTCTGACAGAATTGAAAAGAGGAACAGGCTCCGCGAAAACTCGTAAATGCCAATCAATCCGGAAGAAATAACAACCTTAATGCATGCCCGAAAAGAGACAAGATTGCAAAAGACATTATAAATGCACCGAAGCCACGCAATAGTAAAAATTTAAGCTTTGTCGTTCGAGACTGACCAACAATTTCATTTTAGGAAAACAGGCGCCACGTCGCGCTTAAAAAATCATAAAAGCATGGGATAACTTCCCATGGTAGCGTTATCTAAGATCAGACTCGCGACTGACAATGATAGCCCTGCATGCAAACCTAGTTGTGCACGGTAACCATTTGTTTACCTAGCAATATTTTCCGCGAGAATAACAGAATTCGTCATCTGTCTGGAGCAATCTTGACTCTTTAAGGAAAAATGTAAATCACTTCTTTTCTTCTCAAAACTACTCTAACGATGTACTTTAGATTAACAACGATAGGACGCTATAAAAATTGTAAATCTCGCGTGCCACTAACTTTTGCATCCTAGACAAAGGGCACAACGTCCTTTTTTGGAGGTATAAATAGAGGTCCCGCGGAAGAGCAGAGCGTCAGTACAGAATTTTAAACCGCTCGGTCCACATCAATGAAGTTCGCGATCCAAGCTATTGTTGCGGTCAGTAAAACCAAACTAACTCGGTTCACGTCAGTGCAGGTTCACGAGTTGACTTATTGGGCAGTGCGGAATTGACTAAAACCCGCGCTAATCACGCCAGTTCCATACGAGTGCGAAGTTGTGGGCAAATCGGCACTGGAATCATTAGGCATATGCCACTGCGACTGCCCTTCTGACGCTCTCCGCGGACGACGGATCTCCTTCGACGAGTTACACATCGGAACTTACCCGATATCTTGGGGGCAGCTAACAGTAAGTCGCTATTCCTTCCAGTCGACTCCCTCGTTTCCCCACATGGAAACACATACATTTGTACCTATATACACATACGCGCGTTTCCAACGAACATACACACACGTCATTTTAACCCTTCGGTTTGTAGTTCGTACCATTAGAAAACGCGAACGAACTCCCTATGTCCGGAGAAGTAGACGGAACCGTCCCCTTGGGCCACCCACAATCGCGCCGCCACAACCGACTGACGAGCAATTTAGCGAGATCTCCTACTCACCAACATTAGAGACACAACCCTTAAATCTCATCTCTCCTCCTGTCATCGATCTTGCTATTCGGGAAATCTTGAGTTATTCCCTCCCTCCTCTCGAGGAACGATTCCCTCCCCCTCCTTCTCGCGAAGAAGAATTTTCTCTCCCTCCTCCCTTGGATCAGCTCCCACTCCTCCCGTTTCAACCAAATCCCGAACCTTCTATTGTACAAAAAATAGAAGGAAGAGGATGACCATTTTCAAGAAAAGTGTGAATTGCATCGATCAAATTTTTTGATTGAAAACAAAGGTGTGGCAGATAGAATATTTTGTTTAAAAAACTAATAATTATGCCTCTTTATGACAAAGAGAATGATTTATTTCGTTCTGAGTGATATATTTCGTTCTAGACACCAACATATAATATAATTCATACATCGACATTTTTTTTCTGTACAATTTTACTAACAAGACGAAGATTCTTTAATTATTGATACGTCCTACAGATGCCACGATTTTTTTCCTTCGCCGCGACTATGGTTGGCGTCTGCGAGACCCGAGCGGCGCCTTCTGATAACGAACTAACAGAATTAAAAAAGGGACCGGACAGGCGCCGCGAAAACTCGTAAATGTCAATCAACCTGGAAAGAATAATAACCTTAATGTAGGCCCGAAAAGAGACAAGATTGCAAAGACATTATAAATGTACCGAAGTTACGCAATAGTAAAAATCTAGGCTTTATCATCCAAGTCTGGCTAACAATTTTATCTTAGAAAACAGGCGCCATGTCGCACTTAAAAAAACGTAAACGCATAGAATAATTTCCAGCAGGAGCGTTATCTGAAACCAGCCTCGCAACTGACAATGATACCCATCTTTTTATTTAGCCATATTTTCCGCGAGAATAACAAAATTCGTCATCCGTCTCGGCGCAATCTTGGCTCTTTAAGGAAAACCATAAATCACTTTCTCTTCTTCTCGAAACTATTCTATGTACTTTAGATCAACAACGATAGAACGTTATAAAAATCCCGAGTGACATTGCAACTAACTTAACATCCTAGACAAAGGACTCAACACCCTTTTTCGAAGTATAAATAGAGGTCTCGCGGAAGTGCAGAGCGTCAGTACAGAATTTTAAACCATTCGGTCCACGTCAGTGGAGTTCGCGCTCAGTTACTCATTGTCTTGGGCAGTCCGAAAATTACTATAACCCGCGCTAATCACGCATCAGTTCGCGATCCCGTCCGAGTGTGAACTTATAATCAAGTCGCAACTGAAGTTACCAGCCTTACGCCACGGCGACTCCCCTTCGGACGCTCTTCACTGACGACGGATCTTCTTGGCCACCCGAC